AGCACCCGCTGTGCATCATCCAGCGGGGAGGGGCGGAGAGACCCGGGGACCCGGTGGGGGGCGCGCCCCGCGACCCCCCCCTCCTGCCTCCGCCCGCCCGCCCGCCGCAGCCGCCCTGGCGGGGCACCCTGTCAAAGGAGGAGTGAGGGGGACACGTGAGCGGCGCGGCCCGCGAGCGATGGCGCAGGCGTGGCGATGGCGCGCTGGCGTTGGAGCACCTGCGGGGGCGTTTGAGCAGCGGCGAGCACCCGCTGGACGTGGCGGAGCGCTTCCAGCAGAACGGGGGATTCGACGACCTGGGGGATGTTCGCGACACCATTCTGGAGCCCCTCGAGGCGCTGGAGCGGGACCCCGGGTCCCTCGTGACAGATGACGAGCTGGACCACTTGCGGCAGTTGCCGGAGGCGCTCCGGGAGAGGCGAGGGTTTGGCCAGGCCCATGCGGAGGAGGGAGAGGCAAGAGCTTGGCGAGGGCCTGGCCCAGCCGGTGCCAGGGGCACCGCGCCGCCCACTGAGCCCATCCCCGCGTGCCGCCTCAGGGGGGCCCCCGCCGGGCCTCGGGAATGGCTTCGTGGAGGCGCAGGGGCCCGAGGGAGAGCGGCAGCCGCCCATGAAGTAGGCCCCGCGGGCCCGGGCCACCACCCCGGCGAGCGCGGGCCAGAGCGCCGGGGAGCTGGAGTGCGGGCAGAACTTGGGCAGATCACCCCCAGCGGTCCGACCAGGCGCGAGACCGACCCCACTTCCGATGAACTTGTTCGAGCACCGTGCGGGGCCGACCGGGCGCCAGCACGGCGGCCACGAGTGATGTTCGAACAGGATGAGTACGGCCCGTCCGAGAAGGCCCAGCGCTCAGCAGGTGCCCCGGGGGATGCCGGGGCGGGGGCAGGGGCTGGCGCTGCCCGGGTGCTGGCGGACATCGCGTGCAACCTGGATATGATCAACAAGCGGGCAGAGGGGGCCAGCGCCGGCAAGGTGGGCGCGCTTCAGTCCATCGCTAAAAACTACGAGCTGCTGATCCTGGCGGCCAGGGGGCGCGGCCGGCTCCGAGTCGCGGTGTGCCCAGACGATGTGGGGCGTTTGTTGATGAAGGCCCCCCTGCGCATGGCCGAACACTTCGCTGCGTTGTTCAAGCGCCATCGTTGGCCGACCCTGATGAACTGCAGGATTGCCCGCGCTTTGGCGACGGGATCATGGGGGCAATGCGGTGGACACCCTGCGTGCCCATGCGTTGTGCGTCGCGGACTGGGTCGCTTGCGCAGAGGGGCCATTCGCCGATTGCGCGCCTTCGACCGAGCACGAGATAGATCCCGGCTGACGTGTTGAAGTGGGCCTGGCAGGCTCGCGATGGGATTTGGGCTGCCTGCCTGGTCCGCGGCGCCGAGCGCCGGGGCGAGAGAGGTGAGGCATTGGACTGCCCCGTCCGCCTCCGCGAGGACAAGCCCCGCAGGTGCGCGCCGCGCTTCGTCCAGGATGCGCGGGAGGAGCTGAACTCGAGGTGGCGGGGGGAACTGAGGCGGAAGGTCAAGGAAGTGCAGCGCTTTTGTAACGAGGATCCGCTGAGGAAGGATGACTTCATCTCTGCAGCGTCGACCCCGACGCCGGAGGGGGGACCGCTTCCGACGCTCCTTGCCGCCTTAGGTCGAGGATCCCCAGGGGTGCTACCGCGCCGTGATCTTCGAGCCGCTCGTGAAGGCAGCGGACAATGCCTATTGGGAGATCGCGCGCCGAGCGCAGCTGCGGCCGCTGGCCGCCGGGGGCGACGGAGAGGAGGATTGGCCAGGATCCCAGGGGGCGTTGGAGCAGGCCGCGGAAGGCGCAGGGGCTGGGGGCCGAGGAGGAGGGATGGCGGGGGCAGGAGGCGCCAGTGGGGCCAAAGCGGGAGCCAGCAAGGTGCGCCTCCCGCAGGAGATCCTTCCCGCCCTGACGAGCTCAGAGTTCGCCGACTCTATCAAGCACAGCCCCAATTATTCCAAGGGCAAGCCAAAGTGCCGGGGCACAGCCTGCCATGACGTCTGTTCAAAGACGGCCGCTACTTGCCAGAGGTCCCACGCGGGGGGGGGCCAAGAGCGCCGACAGGGCCCTCTAGACGGTGAAGGCGCAGTACAGCAAACGCGGAGGCTTAAAGACAAGGCTGAAGGTAAGAGTCGAGGACCACTTGCCCAAGTTCAAGCAGCCGCGCGCGGGGGCCCAGGGGGATCAGGCGGCGAAAATCCATGAGGGACAGGGCCGGGCAGCCCAGCGGGGGGGTCGGCGCGGCGGCTCGAGCAGAACCCCAACGCCGGCGGGTGAGAGGCACCCACCCGCCGAGTACGCCGAAATGGAGTATACCACGCAGGAGCGTGAGCTCCAAGAGCTGGTCCAGGGCCCGGACGACAGCTGGAGGCATGGTGCTGGGGCCCAGGAGGCAACGGCGTGCCTGGAGGAGCTGCCAGAGGATTTGCCGGGAGTGGCGAAGGATCATATGAACGCGGCGAAGACCCTCAGGGACTCCCCAGAGGCGAAGCTGGTCGCGGATGCCCAGAACCGGCTGAGGTCGCCCCGTCACGGGCGCCTGCTGGATGGGCGCCTGGGGGGGCAAGCCACCGCTACTGAGGGGGTCCTCCAGGGCGCGGTGGGGCTGGGTGACGAGGTGACGAGGAGCTGTCTGCCCAGGCGCGACCGTGCCCGGCTGCGCGCGTCGAACGCGTCGGGGGAGATCTGGTCGGACCCGAAGTGCAAGTGGGAAAGACAGTGCGCGGGGCACCAGATGAGCCGGGCAGAGGCCGCGTTCGCAGGAAGGGACGTATCTGGGACGTCAGAGACTACCGTGATCGGCTGGCCGTCGCGGAAGGGCTGGCGGAGTACTTCCCAGAATGCAAGGTGGGAGAAGCGGAGGAGAGGCAACGCGTGTTCATCAACGCCGCGGCGGCCCACCTTCGGTCAGTCAGTGGGAAGGGCCCGACCGTGGCGGAGGTGATGGGCCTGGCGCAGTCCTGGAGTGTTGCTATGTCGGAGGAGGCGAAGCAGGCCGAGACGTTCATGGGCCCTCCAGACGCCTACATTCCCGTGGCGGAGTCGGATGTGCGGATGCTCGGCCGCGATATTCTGCACTTGAGCCAGAGCAAAGACTACCGCGCGTTGGCAGCCTCCCCCCCCCGACTCTCAATGGGACCGCGGTGCGCGTGGTGAGCGTCGACCCATGGGGCCGAGCGCGGCTCGAGGTCATCGTGGGGGAGGAGTGTGACCCGAAGAGGGGCGGCCAGAACGTGTGGATGCTGCTCTACGAGGGCCGCCGGCAGGTGCTGGCACCCCCGGAGGTGGACGCGGGCGCGCTCAGAGGGGACTTTACGGGAGGCCACGCACCCCAGGAGGTCGCAGCCGCCGGGCGGGACGTCTACCTGGAGGATACAGCTCAGGAGGAAACCAAGGTGCCAGGAGATGTCGCCAAACGCTGCCCGAGGTGTCGGGCGAAACGGGAGGCAGGACGCCAGCGCAAGGCAGGGGGGCAGGACATTCGCGGGGGTGACCCACGCTGGAGGATCCTCGGCAACTGGAGCAACCCAGCCCGGAGGAGGTACGAACGACACGGGCAAGCGACTGCAGGTGCACGCCCGTGCTGGCGACGCAAGGTCATCACGGCCAAGGGGGTCTGGGCCGGCATCCAAGGCTGGTCTGAACAGCTGCGCCAAGCGGGGGCGGAGGTCGGACCCGCGGTGGAGCTGTGCACTGACCCCGAGCGTTGCAAGGAACCCGAAAGGGGACCACGACACCAGGCGCCGGGCAGTCCAGGAGGCCCTGTTGGAGGACGCCCGCGCAGGGTACTACCTTTTGTCGTGGCTGGGGTTCGAGTGTCGGTCTTTCTGCCCTTGGATGCCGCGGAATGGAGGTGTGCGGACATTCGACAAACCTGGGGGCCAGCCAGATGGGCCCCAGTGGGATAGAGGGGACAGCGATGGCAAACTTCGCGGCCCGCCTATTTGAAGCCATCGCGGATGCGGGCAGCCTGCCCACAGCGGAGCTCCCTGCTCCCGACGGACGCTACCCGAAGGCGTACGACCTGGAGCGATGGCGGGCGGCCTTGAGGAGGCGCGACGTCCTAGTGGTCCCAGTGGCCCAGTGCGACTACGGACTTGGGCCTGCGAACAGCGACCTTGACACGGACCGGTACCGAAAGCGGTCTTAGCTGGTAATTGGGGTGCGGCGTTTGCAGGAAGTGGTTCGCCGCTGCTCGCAGCAGCACCGGCGCGTTGAGCTCAAGGGCGTCCATGGGGTCACCAAGCACAAGCGCACGGCGGACGCTGGGGGGAGGGAGGGAGGGGGAGGGAGGGAGGGGGAGGGAGGGAGGGAGGGAGGGAGGGAGGGAGGGAGGGATGGAGGGGGAGGAGGAGGAGGAGGAGGAGGAGGAGGAGGAGGAGGAGGAGGAGGAGGAGAGGAGGAGGAGGAGGAGGAGGAGGAGGAGGAGGAGGAGGAGGAGGAGGAGGAGGAGGAGGAGGAGGAGGAGAGGAGGAGGAGGAGGAGGAGGAGGAGGAGGAGGAGGAGGAGGAGGAGGAGGAGGAGGAGGAGGAGGAGGGAGGAGAGGGGGAGAGGGAGGGGAGGGGGAGGGGGAGGGGGAGGGGAGGAGGAGGAGGAGGAGGAGGGGAGGAGGAGGAGGAGGAGGAGGAGGAGGAGGAGGAGGAGGAGGAGGAGGAGGAGGAGGAGGAGGAGGAGGACGAGGAGGAGGAGGAGGAGGAGAGAGGAGGAGGAGGAGGGAGGAGGAGGAGGAGGAGGAGGGGGAAGGGCGAGGGAGAGGACAAAAGGGGATGGGGTTGGTCGATGTTCGATGCTTGGGCTGCTCTCCTCCCCCCCTTATCCTCCTCCTCCTCGTCCTCCTCTTATCCTCCTCCTTCCCTGTCCTCCTCGTGCTCTTGGTTGATTCTCTCGCCCCCCTCGCCATTCCGCTGGGGCTGAGCTCCCAAAACACGTGCCCGCGCGCGCGAGCGCCAGTGTGGCGGCCAGTGCGCGTGCTGGCGGCCGATGCCGCAGGCCAAAGACGTGTACGGCAAGGACGTGTTCGTCCACCCCAGCAAGGCCGAGCCGGAGACCTCCTACTCATCCTTCCTCCTCCTCCTCCTCCTCCTCCGTTCCCTCCGTCCTCCTCCCTCTCCTCCTCTTCCTCCTCCTTTCGTCCTCCTTTCCTCTTCCTCCTCATCCTCCTTTCCTCCTCGTCCTTTTTCCCTTCTCCTCCTCCTCCACCTTTCCTCCTCCCTTCTCTTTCTCTCGTCCGCGTCTGGCGGCCCAGGCCGATTCGCAATGCAGTGGCCAAGGCTGCGAACTACGTATACCCAGACATCCCGCGGATGGAGTATTTGACAAAAAATCAGTCCGTTGGATGTCTGGGGGCCCGCCTCTTTGCGCCCCTCCAGCGCGCCGCGGATGCCGACATTGTCTGGGCTATCTCTTTTGTTGCACCTCCTCGTTTTCCTCCTCCTTCCTCCCCCGCGCCCCACTTGCGTGCCGCCAGTGCTGACCCGGTTGCTCGACCACGACGGCGGCGTCGGCGGCGACGACGCTGACGTGGGGCAGAGTCCTCAGTGATGCTTTGCGGGGCCTCTTCGGAGCGCGCTCGTAGGCCTTTTGGGGGCAGTGTTGGGGCCTCTTGGGAGCACCTTGGGGGCCTCGTGGGAGGCGACCCCAAGCGTGCCACCTGCCGCTGGCTCTGGCGCTGTCGCTTCTCCTCACCCCATGGGATGAGGAGAAGCGACAGCACCGCTTCCGCGGCCCCCACCGCCTCTGCGGCCCCACCGCCTCGGCGGCCCCTACAGCCTCATCTTCTGTTTCGTCCCCCACCGCCTCCGCGGCCCCAAGCGTGCCACCTGCCGCTGGCTCTGCTGCCGTCTCCTCGCCATTCTCCTGGCGCCCATCTTTCTGCTGCGCCTGGTTTTCGCCCCTGGGCCTCTGAGGCAGAGGCGGAGGAGCACGAGGAGGAACACGCAGAGGATGGAAGGGGAGGAGGAGGAGGAGGCGAAGGCGGAGGCGGAGGCGGAGGCGGAGGCGGAGGCGGAGGAGGAGGAGTAGGAGGAGGAGGAGGAGGAGGAGGAGGAGGAGGAGGAGGAGGAGGAGGAGGAGGAGGAGGAGGAGTAGGAGGAGGAGGAGGAGGAGGAGGGGCGCCAGGCCCGATGAAGGCTTGGGCGGTTTTGGGCGTTTCTCACGCTTCGCGTCGGAAGGCGCTTGAGCAGGTTTTCTTAACCACATGAGAGGACACATTGTTATCTTCATCGTTTCCATATTTTTAGCCACACTTGTATACATCATTGTTTTTTCAATCATATGTCCCATACGTTTATAGATTTCCTAACAATCAGAAGGGTGGAGTGGTGGTGCCATTCGGACACGGCTGATAGTTTGGATAACCTATGAATTTATGGAGCGTTTTTTTTTTGTTGTTGTTGGTGTCTCTTTCTTTTTCTCTCCAGACATGCCATGGAAATTGGGAAATTATAGGAATACCATGGTTTTGTTAACCACATGAGGGAGGGAGGAAGGAAGGGAAGGAGGGAGGGCGGGAGAGAGGGAAGGAGGGAATGAGGGCGGGAGGGCGGGCGGGAGGAAGGGAGGGAGGGAAGGAGGAGGGGAGGGAGGGAGGGAGGGAGGGAGGAAGTGACAGGGGTGAATGAGGTGCAAACCCAAGTTTGTATTGCTTGCTGGTCCGCAGCCGTTTATGCTCAAGGGGGCCCTTGAGCCAGTTTTGAGCGGTAGCAGAATTGACTTGTGGGCTCCACGGAGCTCGCAGGCCCCGAGATATTCACACATATCAGATATCAGTACACCTATACATATTGAGCAAGCTCTCTTGTGCCAGTAATGACGAGTTTCAGACGAGGTGGCAGAAGCGAAGCGGACTGCCACGCGTTCTGGAGATAAAACATTCATATCCACGGACCTAACATCGATACTGCCGATCATAGCATGGAGAGCGCCTACGACAGCTTCGAGAGTTTCAGGAGTATCGGCGGACAAGCGTTGGTAGCGGAACCAGCTGACTCCACGCAGCACAGCTGGCACCATGACGGGCGACAAATATAATGACAAACGCAAAGTTCCTCCGTGGGTCGGGGACGGAGCACGCTTCCAGGAATACAAGGAACGGGTGAGGTGGTACGTGGCAGGGCTTTCGTATCGTGATAAGGCCGTGGCTGGCGCGAGGCTTGCATCGGCGTTGACGGGGGAAGCCCAGAAGGCGCTCGAGGAGGTGTCTGACGAAGGCCAGGTGATGTTGGATAAGAATGGTGGCCAAAAGCGCTGCTGCAGTTCCTAGACGAGACTCATGGACGAACCCATCCCGGAAGCGGCCAAGTTTCTCAAGGAGTACCTCTTCACGGAAGAGCGATGAAGGGATTCAGGCCTACGCAGAGCGGAGCTGGATCGTCGCCGACAAGCTGGACCAGAGCTGCAGGATAATCGAGGAGAAGGACCCGAGCTGCGAGCTGAAGCTGCAGAAGCGGTCCAGACCCGAGGGGAAGCCGGAGTCCGCGAAGGAGAAGACCAGCATCCAGGGCGACGACGATGTCGGCGCGAAGAGTTGGAAGGGCGAGATTTGGAGAGGCTGGCGGCATGGCGGCAGCTGGTGGAGCAGCTTTGCAGGCGGACAAGCGGGCTCGCAATGGGAGTGGCCTCGATCAGCGGCGCCGCCGTCGCTGAGAGCACGTGGGAAGGTGGCGCTGAAAGAGAAAGCTACGGGGGCTTTATGTTCGCTGATGGCGAGGTTCAACCTGGACGAGGACGACGTGGACATCGAAGCCCTGTTGGAGGTTGCAACGGAGTTGAGAGAGACCCTCATCCCGTTGGTCACGGCTGGATGGCTACTCCTGCAACAGGCTGGACTGAGCGCTCATGGGCGTGTGGGCGTGCTGTCGTCGACAAGGAACTCGCTGAACCTGGAGAACATCGGGGCAGCGCGGCGGGGCCAATGGGCAGACGTTGACCTCGAGGAGTGCGACGCCCACGACAGGGAGAGGGACGTGTTCCCGCGCAGGCCTGGCGCGCGACAAGCTCTGGGTCTGTTCGGCGAGGGCGACTGCGCGGGGCAGGGCTACGGCGACGAGGGCGGAGAGGGGATCGGCAACGAGGCCTACCTCGGCGACGAGGCGGGCGAGGGCTCTGACGAGCTGGACCTCGAGGACCTAGGCGAGAACTTCCGCGCCGAGGCAGAGGAGGCGCTGCCCGTGATCGTTGCCGCGAAGACGGGCGCGCGGACGCAGAAGAGCACGCCGGCGCAGGCGCGTGCAGTCGTCGAGGATATCAAGCAGAGTCGTGGATTCTATCAGAAAGGCAAGGCCCGTGGCGAGGGTCGACCAGCAGGTGGCAAGGGACAAGGTCCATGCTTCATCTGTGGCGGACCGAGCGATCGCGAGTACTGGTCGCGCGACGAGGAGAATAACCAGGGCGGGATGCCGAAGGGCAAGGTGCAGCAGGCTGGCGCCGTGGCGTTCAACGTCGGCATGTGGGGCGACGTCCCGGACTGCGAGATCGCGCCGAGCAGCGAGGCGGTGCCGGAGGGCGAGGGTGCGACGGAGGTGGCGCTTACATCGTTCGAGGCGGCCTACCATGCGACGCAGGGAGGCGCTGTCGAGCGCGCGCTGGCCGGGCTCGAGGACGAGGCAGCGAGCTGCGTGGTGCTCGACTGTGGCGCGACCAAGACGTTCGGATCTACCAGGGCGCTGGAGCAGATCATCGAGAGGCAGAGGGCCGCAGGGGTGGGCGCCAGCGGCGTGGCGGTCGGCGCGGCAGATCGGCCGAACTTCGGATTCGCGAATGGAGCGGCGGAGAAGTGCTCGAGCAGGGCAACGCTACCCTTCCAGGCGAACGGGCAGCTTGGAACAGTCGCTGGGTGCGTTCTGAGCACGAAGAACAATCGCTGCGTGCCGCTGCTGGGCTCTGTGGATCTCCGCAGGCGCTCAGGGCTATCGTCGATTTTGCCGTTGGAATCGCTCGCCTGCTTCGCCCAGCTAGCGGTGAACAGGCTGGTCAAGCTCAAGAGCATCTCGACAGGTCACTTGTGCATCGACAGGGCCCGGGACCCCCACGGCCAGAAGATGGCGAAGTAGAAGATGCAGGGCTCTCGGCGGAAGTTCGAACCTGCGCCGGGCGTTCAGCGGGCAGACCGCTGGAGCGGGCGGCCAGCCGACCGACGCAGAACAAGAGCATCGCCCTTTTTTCTGCGGTCTTGGAAAACAGTCAAGGCCGCCATCATGTCACTGGACATGTCGTTCCTCGATATCCGTGAGAGCAGGGGGGGGGCCGAGAAGAGTGGAACGCCAGATATCCCAAGGGGGCGGTGCTGGCTGGAGGGCCCGGGATGTCCATCAAGAGGTCTCTGGAGTCTGAATGTATACCGAGTCCGACACGATCGACAGCTCGACCGACGACCTCGAGTTTTGCGACGCGATCCCGGAGGGCGTCGACAGCGCGATCGACTTCGACTCGACCGAGGGGCTTCTCGACGAGTCTGATGGGGCCGAAGGGGGAGGGCGGAAAGGGGTCTGCCAGTGGGTCGAGGGGTTTCGATGCCACTGCTACGACGAGCGAGCCGAAATCCACCGAGGTGCTGTCAGAAAAGTCGAAGGCCCCCGAGGTCCCGGGGGCCCCTGATAACGTGCATGACCGTGGTCGACGAGCTGGCTCAAACCAGAAATTCAGGGCGATGTCCGAGCAGCTCTTCGGCGGCGCCCAGGACGCCGGGAGCAGTTGCCGCGGCTGCGGAGGCGCCGGCGCCGAGCCGCAAGCCATGTCCGAAGGCAGCGGCGGCGGCGGCCGGGGCCGGGCGAGCGCTGGCGCTCGGCCGACCTCGCCAGCAGGGGCTTCGACAAGCAGCCGGACAAACTGCGGCGGCAGGGCGATCGGCGAGTGCATGGCGCCGAAGGGCCCGCGGCTGGACTTGTGGAGAGCCGAGGAGACCGACGAGAGAGATGCCCGGCACCTCAGGAAGCCGTGCCGAGGAGACCACGACGCGAAGAACCCGCTGGCGTGGCGCGCGAACCAGTGCAAGGTGAGCTACGTGTGCGACCTGGCGATGCTTTATGTAGCACCGACATCAGGGGCCTCGTAGGCCCAACGGTCGGCAAGATCAAGCTCGAGGAGATCACCGAGCAGATGGCCTCGCAGGAAACGCCGAGGCCGAAGGCAGAAGAGGTGAGCGCGGACGACTCGTTCGAGGAGTAGGGCACCTCCGACGAGAAGGAGACGCCGCGGGTCGAGACGAAGACTTCGCGAGCGGCCGAGGAGCTGGACATGGCGAGGGGCAGCGCCAAGAGGCCTGCCGACGAGCGGGGCGGGAGGCGGGCTCCGAGGATCTCGCCGCGGGGCGGGGGTCCGGAGGGCGTCTAGTCGATCAACCGTCCAGCGTCAGCGACGCCAGGCCCGACGTCGTCGCTTTCAGCGTCGACGTAGAGTGCCCGAAGGAGGGCGTCGACGCGGGGGATTGCACTTGGGTGGTGGGCCAGGTGAAGGACGCGAGCGCGGGGACTGACTTGTGCGTCGAGACGCTGATGGAGTTCTGCGCGGAGGAGGACAGTCAGCTGGGCCGGGTAGCGCGCGAGAGGAGCGACGCCAAGAACATCCGAATCACCAGCAAGGGCGCCGACCTCAGCGAGCAGGCGGGGCTGGGCCGCGCGCTCGAGATTTCCGACGAGAGCCGTGGCGCAGACCAATGGGGCAGTCTGCCGCGCGCGGCGGTCAGCGCATTGCAGGGCGGGTGCGTCGGCAGAGCAGGGGCCCAGCACTGGGCCGAGCTCGAGGCCGAGTGCAAGACCCCGAGGAAGATGGTCGAGAATGTTATCGCGCTCGGCTGACGGGTCAGAGCGCATGGCGGAGACGTGCGCTTCGAGTGGCCGAGGAACTGCCGCGGCTGGAAGCTGTTTCCGCAGCTGGGCATCTTCTTCGGCGATGTGGGGAGGGAGAAGGCCAACTTCGACGGATGCCAAGTGGGGGTTTCAACCAGAAGGGTAGCCCGATCTACGAGCCGTGGGCGGTCTGGACTAGCAGTAAGGCGCTGGCAACGACTCTAAGATCCAAGAGATGCCCAGATCCTGCTGGACATGGGCGCGCCGACGCGGTCGCGACGCGACGGGGCCGGGGGGGTGCCCAGCGCAGCTGGCCAGGCTGATCTGGAAGTGCATCGTGGACCCGCCAAGCCTCGCGGGCTACATCGACGACGAGAGTCGAGGAGAAGGCGCTCGCGCCGACGAAGGTCAACGTGTCCGAACCTGAGAAGGAGCTCGAGCTAACGGCCACGGAGCAGGCAGAGTTGAACCAGCTGGAGCCACTCGAGCAGAACGAGATGGTGAAGGCCGCGGTGCGACTGCGCAGTAATACCGGACTTCGACCGATCAGGGTGGCGATCAGAGTGCCGCGACGTCGACTAGCGATTGGTGCGACCACCGCGGCGGTGAAGCAAATCAAGTGCAGCTCGCCCGTCGAGAACCGGGCGCAGGGGCCGCGACGAGCAGCTGTTCTGGAACTGGCCTAGGACATCTGGCAGGTGGTCGGCGCGGGCGCGAAGGAGATTTGCGGCAGCGACGACGTCGAGCGGAAGTACCTGGTTACCGTGGACGAGGCGAGCAAACTCGCGCTGGCGGTGAGGATCTTCAGCTGTCGCGGACAGGAGTCCAGGAACTGTGCGGCGAAGGAGCTGCTGGGCGCTTTCTGGGGCCACTGGTCGGACAGATATGGGATGCCTGCAGTGCTGCGTCGTGACCCAGAAGGAGCGTTTGTGCCACGTGAGTTCTTCGAGAACATATCGGGCGAGGGCGTGGTTCTGGGCCCTTTCGCGACGCGGGCGCGCCGGCAGAGCGGCATTGCCGAGCGGGCGATCAAGACAGTCTTCGATTGCGCCAGGTCGTTGCACAGGGGCCGCGACGCTGACGTGGAGGCAGCGGCGCGCCAAGCTGTGGGGGCTCGCAACGCGGTGGAGAGGGTCGACGGCTACAGCTCGACGCAGTGGGCATTCGGAGTGGACAAGAACTGGTCCGGGACGTTCACGAAGGATGAGAACCTAGACGTGGTGAAGTGTACGAACCAAAGCTACATGGACAATCTGTCGAGGCGAGTGCTGGCCTCCAAGATCAGTGGGAGAAGGGTCCTCAAGCAGAACAAGCGTTGGCAGCCGCAGCGCGAGACCAACGAGTAGAGACGTTCGTGCTGGGCATGCTGGCACGCGTCTGGAGATGTGGCACGCAGGCAGGCCGATCTGCACAAGGTGTGCGTATGCAGCGCGGAATCGATCGAGGGCGCTGGTTTGGGCCAGGGACCGTGCTGGGTGTGCAGACGTTACTTGTCAGCGACGAGGGTGCACGGCCAGGTCGGAAGGTGTGGGTCGCGATGGGGGCCCGACCCTTGAGGTGCCAACAGAGCACCTACGAGCAGCGACCCCTCGGGAAGAGGAGATCTATGCGGAGGAGGAGGGCGCGCCATGGCCCTTCACTTTAAACGGAGAAGGTTAAAGGCGAGGTATAAATCGAGCATGTACCGCTGCCGTGCCTGGCTCAAGCCGGGCCCGGCCAAATATATGACTGTGCCTCACTGAGGCGCGCGACTTGCATCAGAGATCGGAAAATACCTTTTCCATTGACGATGCCCATCCTATCCTTTACTCCAGATCCCATGCTTCGTCTTGCACTCTTGCTCATGCGATATGAGCCAAAGCCTGGGATATGGCAACGCTTAAAGCGTAACACATACCTAAGCTTACCAGCTTGTTTTCGACTTGGTAGCGGAGCTGGCTACACTCTCGTGTGGCTGGCTCTCGCTCTGATTCCTGTAATCCACGGCACAACTTGGTGGACTACTACTACGGTGGAATACCATGTTGCGCCGGCTCTGCGAGGAGCGGAGCCAGTCCGCGATCGAGCTAGCGGGGCAACCCGCGAACTCGAGACGCTCTCTCCTACTTCACTGCGCTACTTCACTCCCGACTTCCACCAGATGCCAATCGGCAACTCGATCGAGAACGTGGTCACCCTGCGGGGCTACCCGCAGCGGGGCCACCTGCATCCCGTGCCAGTCAGGCGCCTCACGGCTACTACGCCAGAGCCTGACAAACCACAGCCTAAACCAATCACCGAAGCCGAAATGCACATGCATGGATCAAGATAACTATATTCGGCATTCTGTGGGTAATAATGGGATGTGCTGTGGGATACATGCGGCAGGGGATGGACGACACGCGTACTACTGGCCCTTCATGGGACCCTGCCGGTACTACGCCTTTTCGCGAATACGTTCGCGAAGTACATGCATGGTTAAACGTAACGAGTGGCAATATGACACCACCACAACAAGCTGCAGCACTACAACGAGGCCTTCAAGGTCTGGCTCGTCGTATCGCCATGCAGGTCCCCTCCCAGATCATCAATTATGGTGTAACTGTCAATGGACAGCCAACGGATGCAGTAACATATATACTGTACTTACTGAGCACCAAATTTGAAAATCTGGAAGATGAGCGCCAGCTCAACTCTGGCACTGCCCTTATCGACTTCCGCGTCGAAAGGGGCGAGCGAATCGACTCAGTATTAGCTCGATTCGAGATGGCCCGTGACGAGGCTAACTCTGTTGGCTTTGTCATCCCCAACTTTCAGATCCTAACGCTGATTCTCTTCAGAGCGTTAGGCGTTGGCGCGTCACGAGCCCAACACCTGCTTGAGCCCTTCAATCATCAGATGCCCCGAACACAAGCAGACTATGACAGGCTGCTGACCAGGATGAGGAACTACGGACATGTTGCCGAGCGCTCTCCTGGCAACATAGCGGGTATCTTCACAGGGCACCACTCACATGCAGGTGTCTACGCCACGACTGCGGGGTCACCCGCTGGTCCTGGCGAGCCAAATCCCTGGGCTGACCCAGCCGATATGCCCAACGAGGCCACTGCCTTTTAGGGCAGACTGGCCAGGCATCGGCAGAGGCAGCTGAGGCGAACGCCTGGTCGAACTACTCGCCAGGCGCCGCCTACACTGCAAGCCCGCCCTCGGGCACAACCCTCTGGGGCCAAGCGGAGTCATCCGCTCAAGGGTCTCAGCCACCCTCACCGTTTGAATCTGGCACTGAC